GGCATCAGCATCACCGTCACCATCATCATCAACAACAACAGCATCATCCTCGTCATCAGCATCACCATCACCATCATCATTATCACCATCAGCCTCATAATCATCATCAGCATGATCCTCCTCCTCATCATCATCCTCATCATCAGCATCATCATCATTATCACCATCAGTTTCAACATTATCATCATTGGCATCAGTATCATGATCATCACCACCATTATCCGTGCAGCGAGCTGGCTCGGACAGGGATGAGTACATAGGGCGTTCACGCTCGCTCCAGTGGCCTTCTGGCGAGCCAACAGAGCTTCATTTGAGATGGCGCGCTGAAAGCATCGCCACCAGTGGTTTTCGATGTCCGCCGGGTAATCGGCCACTGTCTCTGCCACGGCCATGGCGTGGTCCCAGTTCGTGTGCCAGGTGGTGCGATACAGTTTCCTCTGCCTGTTCGTCTTGGGGCTCGTGGATTGCCGCTCCTTGTCCCGTGGCCAGAGCCCGAGGGATTGAAGCGGAGTGGCGTTTAGTGAATGTGAAATGCGGTTCATGTTGGTTCGTCTTGGTAGTGCCCAAGGCGTTGTTGGGGTGTTTTCGAATCTGGAATGTTGACTGGCTGAGAGCGCAAAACCAGACATCGAGTCGATGTGTTAGCGTTGCCAGGGTCGTTGTTTCAGCGTGTTCTGTTTCGCCCCCTGGCCCCTAGATGATGCAGGGCTCGACCTGGTTTAACGAACCAACAACACACACCCATACCCATAGCCAGTCCTCCTCTCAACGATCCCACTATGGGTATGGGTGTGTGTTGCTCGTTCGTCATGGTCTCCGAGCGTGGAGCTGAACACTGAAAAGACGCCCTGGCGCAGTTCTGATGCTGATGCGGACGAGGCCTGGACGCCCACGGCCCGTCCGCGGCGGGCTCCGACGATGGAGAGCAGCGAGCCTGAACACGTTCAAAGGACAAGTTGTGTCTGCTCGCGTTCTCGGTGTTCCAGTTGAAACATGAAAACGCAAACCCAAATGATTCTTATTGCGCCAAGTTGAAAGAAACAAAAGATTGGCAGACTTAATATGAACCAGGTTGTTCGTGTACCCTGCCACGGAGTCTTCGTAGGAAGATCTCTGACTGGCTGGGCAACGTCGCCGAGCGAGGGCGCCGGGATGCATTTACTATCAAGGCGCATACTGTGGTCACGCAGCCTTGTCCTGTCGAAGGGAGCTATGGGAGGCCGCCTTCAAAGCCTCGCATGAGTCTGGGTGCTCTCGTTCTTACGGCAATGGCAGCAGCTCAGCTTCGACGTGCTCGCGAGGTTCCAGAAGTTCGCGTGTTCCAGTCCATCCGAGCCAAGCCGCTGCAGTTGCACAGGATGAGTTCCAGGGGTGGCGGAGGAGCGTGGTTTCAGCGATTCTCGCGCCACGTGAAGGGAAGTCAACTGTGTACGCAATGGTCTACAGTGCGGGCGCGTATCGAGGCAATGGCAACATCATGCGATCCGGAGCCGTTCCTGATGGGATCGCCTGGAAGCTCCAGGTCATGCCCTCATCCTGCGGACGTGGGGTTTGTCGATGCAAGAGCCTTCGCGCCTCCCTGCGCTCAGTTCCCTTCCCTGCCCGCCGCCGCGGGCCCGTCCGATCGGCGCGCTCTGGCACCTGGAGCCCGCCTGATCACCGGGCTGCGGCCCGCAGCCAATGTCGCAAACTTTGCCCAATTAAGATGAGGTCGGGCATGTCCCTCTACAGGAGGATTATTCAATAGTCTGCGGACGATTTTTTGAGTATGTTTGATCAAATGTTGGCTATGTCTGGGATATGTTTGATGCTTCGTCCAAAATCCGCCTGTAGGGGGACATGCCCGACCTAAAATTAAGAGCCTAACTTCAATGCCGCATCCCGTTGAAACCCGACAAGCCTGTCCAGCGTTTCATTCAGGTTCCTGAGCGTCGCCATCGGGGCCCCGTCACCGCTGGCCGGTCTCATCCTCCATGTCCAGAGTCGCTGAAGCGAGAGCGGGATCCACCAGCCCCACACAGCAAGCCCGTAGTCAGTTCGGAGGCCCGCGCGCTGGACTGCATCGATTCATCCCCAAGTACCCATGTGCCCGCTCTGGAATGCAAGGCCCGCCTCGCAGGTTCGAATTGCGCGTCCGGCCCCTCTCTGCCTGCTTTGCCACCTCTCGTGCGAAGCTCGATTTCCCAGGCACCTAGAGTCGAGGACTCGTTGCCAGCATCCTGCGCACCGTAGCAGACTTTCTCATCCAAGCCATTCGGGGAGCAGCTCCTTTGAGCAATTGACGCCCGCAAATTTGGATTCGCGGAGCAGATTTTGAGGAGGTGCACGTTGCCACCATTCGTGATCCGGCCGTTGTGCATCCGGGTCTGCCTTGCTAGTGAGTGCGGTACCATTCGCAGGGTGGCCCGCTAGGCATTGCAATTTGCGCGGTTGTATGCTGCCGGGAAATGGTCACAGCGCCACGCGCTGGTTTTGCCCAGCGAGTGTCGCCTCTAGCCCCGCAAAGTGCAGGGCAAGGAGTATCTCCAGACTCTCGACTTGGAATCCCCAATGCACGTGGGTCTGCCATGCGCAGCCTCACTTCCAAGCGCATACTGGCCATTAGCTTCTGCATGCATGGCCCCAGCTACAGCGAGTGAGGAAGGACCTGCTCGCGCACGGGCCCAGTAGTCATCCACCCACTGGCGATACCCCTGCGCGCGACTGCAGATCGCCCCGCACTTGCAGGGCCGCACGGTTGAACGCGCGGTCCCGCTTTGCCCGCCCTCGCGGCACGGGCAGGAGCAAGATTCCCAATTCGCCCCTGCATCGCCCCATCCATGAAGTTCAGACGACGGGAGCTCGCAAAAGGCACGGCCATGCGCCACTGATGAATTGGCCGCACATCTAATCCATGCCACGCAGGAGGATCCGACAAGGACCGTTGATCCCGAGCGCGAGGGACGCGATGTTCTAGCTCGGGGTTTTGCCCGGGCCCTCCACGCCTGGCCATCGAGAGAGGCCAAGTGGCGTAGCCAAGACGGAACGCATTACCTTCGTAGAGACGTTTCGATGCACCTCGGCGCTCGGGAGATCTGTTCTTGTCGGCATGTCGTGCCACCTCGCAGAACGAACCAGTGCCGCAGTGGCAACGCCGCTCCGCACGGCTCATGCCCGTCAGCGGTCCCGGCGGCCCTTCTCAGCGCTGCCCCGCGGCCCCGGCGACGCCCCCGCAACGGAAGCGACAGGGGCCGCGGCGCCAACTCGGGCCCATTTCGGGACGTCGTCATCGTCGTCGAGGATCGAGGATCGAGGATCGACGAGGATCGAGGATCGACGAGGATCGAGGATCGACGAGGATCGAGGTCGTTCATTGACTCATCGTCGAGGATCGAGGATCGAGGATCGAGGTCGAGGATCGAGGTCGAGGATCGACGTCGTCATCGTCGTCGAGGTTCATTGATCGGCGTCTTGCTCGAGGTCGACGTCATTCGAGGATCGAGGTTCGAGGACGGGGCGTTCCGGACTGGGAGGGGGCTCGGGGCTGCAGGAAAGGGGCGCTTACAGCTGCCCGAAAAGGGGCCCACATGGCGCCTCGAATGTGCACGAGGGGTGCGCCCTCCTCCTCCTTCTCCTCCTCCTCCTCCTCCTCCTCCTTCTCCTCCTCGTCCTCCTCCTCCTCTTCCTCCTTCTCCTCCTCCTTCTTTTTGGTGTTATTATTTTCCTTGTTGTTCCTTCTCTTCCCCCTGCCCATTGCCCCCCCCTAGCAAGCGGCGCCTGAGCGGAAGCCTCCGTCGTCGCCGCCGTCGTTGTCGCCAAGCGTCACCCGCGGAGGCGATGAACCAGATCAACGAGCAGGGCCTGGCCACCGCCGTGGTGGGCAACGTCATGGCGGCGGTGAAGCTCGGAGAGGCGGCGCTGCCCGCGGCGGCGGCGGGGAGCACCAAAAGACACCCCAGGGGAGGACGGCGGACGGAAGCGGAGGGGGAAGGGAAGGGAGGAAGGCGGGCGAAGGAGGGAGGAGGAAGGACGGCGGCGGAGGAGGGGAGGGAGGGGAAGGCAGGGGAGGGGGACGGGCGGAGGAGGGAGGAGGAAGGGAGGGAGGGAGCGGGCGAGGGAGGAGCGCGGGTGGAGGAGGGCGGAGGAGGGAAGGGAAGGGCAAGGGCAGGGCAAGGGAGGAGGACGGGAGGAGGAGGGAGGGCTAGGAGGGGGCAGGGTCGGGAGGGAGGAGGAGAGGGGGCATGATGCCTGCCAGAATTCCGGGGGGAAAGTGCTGGTTGGGGTTTCCTCCGGCGTTTTCAGAGGTCCGCGGCGCCTCTGGCCGCCACCCCAGGCGCGCTCCGCACTCCAAGGAGGTGCGCCCGGCGCAGGTCCGAGAAATCCGAGCGGAACTCCGAAAGCTCATGCTTATGCCATGTCTTGTTACTCTGGACCCCCCCCCTCCCCGCGCGAGGTGGTCATGCCGGCCGCTCCGGGCAGCTTCTGGCCGCAGTGGGCGCCCGCCCAGGTGCCGACGAAGCTCCGGCGGGCAACTGCCACGAAGGGGGGAGGGGTAGGATGGAGCGGGGGAGGACGAGGGGGTGGGAGGAGGAGGACGAAGGGAGGGAGGAGGAGGGGAGGAGGAGGAGGAAGAGGAGGAGGAGGAGGAGGAGGAGGAGGAGAAGGAGGAGCAGGAGGGAGGAGAAGGAGGGAGGAGGAGGAGAAGGGAGGAGAAGGGAGGAGAAGGAGAAGGAGAAGGAGAAGGAGGAGGAGGAGGAGGGAGGAGGAGAGGAGGAGGAGGAGAGTTGGAGGAGGAGGAGGAGGAGGAGAAGCAGGAGAAGAAGGAGGAGGAGCAGGAGGAGGAGGAGGAGAAGGAGGGGGGAACAAGCTAGGTGCGCTCTCGTCATATCTGACGTCCTACCCCTCCCCCCCATCCCTTACCATGGCGTAGATATCCTCTCTATTCGCATAGTCGGATTTCGAGCAGGGCAATGATCGCGCGAGGGTGCGCGATGCATGGTAGAGCACGGCATGGCATGGCGTAAAAGAGCACGGCAGAGCGTAGCATGCCAAAGCATGGTGTGGCATTGCGCAGTGAAGCATTGCATCACATGGCATTGCAACGCAATGCATGGCATCGCACAGCGGCGCAGAACACAACACCGCATAGCATGTCATGGCATTGCGCCGGGTTTCTTGGAGAGTAAGTGGATCGTTTTCAAGAGGTCTGGGCCAGTCTGGAGTCTTGTCTATGTCTAGCTCTTTGTGCCCCCCGAAGCGCTCAACACAAGGCGGGGATGATGGAGAGCACCCGCTGGCTCTGGTTTCAACATCGCATTCTCACAGCTGCGTGATAATTCCTGAAAACGACGACGCCCCAAAGTGGGGGGGGCTTCTGCGGCCCACGCAAAACAACGAATCGGCAACGAACATGGAATCACTTCCGATGGTTTTCCGGGGGGGGCATGTTTGTTTTAGATGTTGGGCCTATCTGGAAGGACCGCTCTGCAGCGGGAGCACGATTTGGAACAACCAGAGGCGCAGAAATGGGGCCAGCGCTTCAGCAAGATCAGCATTCTTTAGAAAAAAGAAAAGCGAAAACCCATTTCCCGGGAATCCTGTGTGCAAAAAACAGTACGCGAAGGGTGGCCAGACATCTTACTGACGTTATCAGGAGAGAGAGAGAGAGAGGAGAGAGTAGTATTCATAATGTGCATGTGTGGAGGAGGAGGAGGAGGAGGAGGAGGAGGAGGCGGAGGCGGAGGCGGAGGAGGAGGAGGAGGAGGAGGAGGAAAGACCGCAGGAGAAGGAGGAGGAGGAGGAGAAGCAGGAGGGGGAGGAGGAGGAGAAGCAGGGGAGGAGGAGGAGGAGGAGGAGGAGGAGGAGGAGGAGGAGGAGGGGGGGGAGGAGGGGGGAGGAAGAGGAGGAGGAGGAGGAGGGAGGGAGGAGAGGAGAAGAAGGATAAGCAGGAGAAGAAGGAGGAGGAGAAGGGAGGAGAAGGGAGGAGGAGGAGGAGGAGGAGGAGGAGGAGGAGGAAGGGAGGCCAGCTCTCAGGCCCCAGCGCCCTGCCCGCCGCCAGGCGCCCGCCTCGGTGCACCAGCAGGCTGGCAGCGCGCAGGGCTCGGCCGGCATGTGGGGCTTCTTCAGCTCCATAGACAACGCCATCGCTGGCACCTTCGACAAGGCCGGGGGTCGGGGCTCAAGGGACGGGGGCGAATGCAATCGGGGTCAGCCAGAGCGCAGGATCTTGCACGAATGATCCTGCAAAGCCAAGGCTGCACCGACCCAGGCTTGTGTGCAGGACCCTGCATGATCCTGCAGGGTCCTGCAAAGCCCGACCGACCCGGGTGTGCATTGACCCGGGTCAGTGGATCCGCGAAGGGGGGTCCGCCGCCCTAAAAGAGGCGATTGCCCGCCCGAGCCCTCCGGTTCCGACTCGACGAGGCCGAAGGAGCGGGGAGGGGGGAGAGAGGGGGATGAGGAGCTATCCGCGCCCAGTTTCTGCACTTTCTTGTTGCCCTGGCTCCTCCTCCTCCTGCTTTTGCGCCTGCTGCTCATCCGCTCGCGTTCCTGACCCACGCTGCGTGTGCTTTGTTCCGCTGGCCTGTCCTGGCCCAGCTTGGATGGTTGTGCCCCGCCATGGCCCGATGTTTTCGCTGCCTGCGTACAAAGACGGCTCGGGCAAGTCAGGACCCTCCCACTGACCGTTCGAGCAGGTTGGGCCTGTGCCCTTTCAGTCGCGGACGTGTGTCTGCCTTGGGCCTGGTCCCCGAGAGGGCGTGGCCCACTTGGCACGGCCCCACACGCAAGGTTGAGGCCACCTGCGCCGCCCTGGACGACGGGCACCGTCTGAGCGTACCTCCCCCCCTCTGCCTCCCTCCGTTGCCGTGTCTCTTCTTCCCCCATTCGTAAAGGCCAGTTCGCAACGCTTCGACCGTGACAAGTTTCTTGTTGCTGCGGGCACACAAGCGCACGCCTCGGCTGATGATGTGTGTTGCCTCTTCTCGTGCAGGATGTCCCAGGGGAGTGAGCTACATGCGTTCCTGCATGATCTGGCTCATGCGGCCCCCTTCGGCCGAAGGGTATGAGCACGAAGCTGGTTGCAAATCTGCCACTGGCGTTTGGGATTTCAGCATTGAGGCTGCCATTCGCGGTTGGTGAAAGCATTGTTCCTTGTGGTTGCCCGTGTATACGAACGCATCCGACATGGACTATCATTTGATTCGTTGCACGAAGGCCTGATCTCCCAGCCATGTAATCGCATATGCCTACTATGGAGATGAACAAGAGCGTTGTATGCGCTTGTTTGTCGGTCCACTGTTTTTGGTGAGTTCAGGCTTTGTTTGTGGTTTGTGGCACCCTGGTTGGGTTATGGGTGGAGGGCGGGTCCGCGCCCCAACGCGCGCATTGCTGCATATATTTTCCTGAGGCCATGAGGCTCTCATTGCCGCGCCTGTTTGGCCGGCCCAGCCCACCATGTGCGCTCAGGCTTTGCATCCGAACGCGATCTATTGCGAAACTTTTTTCCACATATGGGATTGCACTCTGAGGTTGTGGCCCACTTCGGGTTGCATGCAAGTCGTTCTGAAAGGCATATCGCCCGCGCCGACATGTATTGCCTCCTCGCTGGACGCATGTTCGGAAAGCGAACCAAATACGGAACAGACTTTGCACATGCATCCTTGGAGTGTGTGCGTAGATATGTTTCTCTTCGTCTCTTTGTGCATGTTGTCAGGGCCGGGTCTCCCACTTATCTCACGGGCTGGAAAGACTTGAAAACCAAATGACGGGCCACACTTCCGCTCCGAGTGCAACCGTAGGTTGGGATCCGCGTGTGGCCACGATCCTCGTGAAAAGGGATGCTCCGAGACGGGCACCGCGGCGCCATGCGTCGGCGCTAATTGAGACCGCAAGTGGAGCTCCCGATGGAGGCGCGATCGCGAGGGGTGTGCCGAGATGGGGGCGGCGGCGCCATGCGTCAGCGCACGCTGGGGCCACACGTGGGAACTCTCATGGGGCCACGAGGGGTGTGCCGAAATGTGGGCGGCGGTGCCATGCGTCGGCCCCAGTTGAGACAGTAGGTGGAGATCTCTATGGGGCCTAGAAGCGTGCGAGGGGTGCGGCGACATCGGGGCGGCGGTGCCATACGTCGGCGCCCAGTGAAGCCGTCGGTGCGGCTCCCCATCGGGGCGCGAAACGCGCGAAGGGTGTGGCGACACGGTCACGAGCGAGCCGGAGACGCGCGCGCTGCGGACTCAATCTGAAGACGAAATTGCCACGAGATGACTTGGGAAAATGTTGTTGCTCGTCATCAACATCAGTCGCCTCACCGTGCTCACTCGCCGATGTACGTGAATGTGCACATATATACATATATATATACACATACACATATGTATGAATGTATGTACATACGTCTGTGCGCCAGCCGAAATTCCGGCCGATCGCGATCCGGTTGAAAATGCTGCGGTTGGCATTTCGGGGTGACGCGCTGGTTTCAGCCCGATCTCGGGCCCCAGGGATGGGGGGGGGCGGGCGGGCAAACCCTCGTTTTCCCCGCCATCGCCCGTCCGAACAACGCCGACGTCGAGAATTGATCCATGCACACACACACACACACTGACTCACAGTCTCACACACAGATATGTAGATGTATATGTATATATATACACATATACATACATACACACATACATACACACATACATACATACACACACATACACACATACACACATATACACATACATACATACATACATACATACATACATACATACATACATACATACATACATACATATATACACACATACACATACACATACATACATACATACATACATACATACATACATACATACATACATACATACATACACACATACACACATACATACATACATGCATACATACATACATACACACACATACATACATACATACATACATACATGCATGCATATATACATACATACATACATGCATACATACAGACATACATGCATACAAACATGCATGCATGCATACATACATACCTATACACATACACACATACACATATACATACATATACATACATACATACATACATACATCCATACATCCATACATCCATACATCCATACATCCATACATCCATCCATCCATCCATCCATCCATCCATCCATCCATCCATCCATACATACATACATACATACATACATACATACATACATACATAGATGTGTAGTCCCACCTTTTCCTCCTCCTCCTCCGCCTCCTCCTTCTCCTAATTATCTCCGTTCTTTCCATGCTTGCCCTTCCCCGCGCGCGCGTAAGGGCGTGCGGGGCCAGAGCGGAGGGCGGAGCGGGAAGGGAGAGGGGCAGGGAGGATTGGGAGGGGGGGGGGAGAGGAGGGGGGCAATGAGGGGGGGGAGAGCAGGACGAAGGGGGGGAGGAGGGAGGAGGAGGAGGAGGAGGAGGAGGGAGGAGGAGGAGGAGGAGGAGGAGGAGGAGGAGGAGGAGGAGGAGGAGGAGGAGGAGGAGGAGGAGGAGGACGCCGACGAGGACGAGCAGCCGCACGATGGGGAGTAAACGGAGAAGCAGAAGAAAGGTCACGGTTAGGTCCGGCGAGTTGGTTCCACAGCAGCACGCGTGTCCAGCAGTATCCCGAGCTGTTCCCGCTTCTTCGGGGCAGCGAGTAGCATCTCCGAGGGCGCTCTCCAGCGGTCGGCGGCATCGGCCCAGAACATGGGCAGGGACGCCTGACGTTTTTGTTCGCGACGCCCGGATCTGAGGAGCTCCACGAATCGGGGTTCGTCGACGGGGTGGCATCTCATCGTGGGGTTGGGTCGTATCTATCCCGACGCCCATTGTTTCCTTCCTTCGGGGGCTGACCATCGCGACGTTCTAGCTCCCCCCTTGCCCTACCGTTCGACCGTAGGTGGCGGACGAGATGAAGGACGCGGCCCAGCTCATCCGCGACCAGGGGATGGCGCGCGCGATGAAGAACGCAGTGGAGCACAGCCTCGGCGGCAACGGACGCGACGTGCTAGTGCAGGTGATCGGACCGCCTGGGGTCGGGATGACCTGTATGACCTCATGCGGGAGTTGTCAAAGGCTTCCTTGGCCAAGATGTCCCGAGGACGCACAGATGGGGAGCCTTCACCAACCAGGCCCAGAGGGCCCCAGGGCTTTCAATTGGCGCTGGAAGGGACAGTTTGGGCCAGGAAAACCTGCAGCAATCCCCGACTTCTTCCCTGCTTCACCAGACCTCCAGGCATTACGAATATGTACATGCACATGGCAGAGTGAGGGGGCCGAACGGTCATTCACTGTCCCTGGGTGCGTGACTGAAGTGGGATTCCGCGATGCGGATTATTGTTGTTGTTATTATTGTTGTTGGTGGTGGCGTTGGTGGTGTTGGTGCTGGTGATGTTGCTGTTGTTGTTTTGGTTGTTGTTGTGGTTGTCGTTGTTGTTGCTGCTGGTGTTGGTGTTGTTGTTGTTGTTGTTGTTGTTATTGGTGTTGTTGTTGTTGTTGTTGTTGTTGTTGTTGTTGTTGAACATTATTAATTCTAAAGAATAATTATTGTTGGGCCCCCTGGTGCACGCCCCCCCTGCGCCGCCTAGGCCGCAGCTACATTTTCATCATTTTCGTGAGGAAGCCTCAGGTAATACGATGTGATCAAGATCCGGTTGTTTTGTTCCCCCCCGCTTTCCCTTGCAAAAAACACTATAAAATGACATTTCTTGTTCTAATATAATCAAATTTCAAGAATCCCTTGCAAAAAATAAGGTAAAGTGGACATTCGCGCGCGCAAGACGAAATCCTTCCAAAAGCTTAGTGTTCGGACGATTTTAACATAAAAACATCAAAAAAACAATGGTTTTTCAACAAAAAAATGTCAAAATCTCATCCCGCGCGCTCTTGCGGATTCGTAGGAAACCCAACACTTTTTAAACATTTCTGTCAAACGGGCTTTTGCGAGCAACTTTTTCGAACTTCTGCGACAACGGTTGCGCACCTGCCAGGGCCATCATCCCTGTCAAATAATACCATGCGGGACACATTCGTTTTTTCTTCGCGCGCGCACGCCGAAATCTCCAAAAACCATTGGGCTTCTTAAGAATTTTAGCACCGCGCATCATAAAATCACACGAATCGCACCGTAGGTCCTCGAAAAACACCTGCACGACTTTTCAAAATTTCTACCCGCGCGCGCTGTCCTAACAACTTCTGTGGGTGTGTACTCCACGCCAGTGTAGTAGCCACGGTCGTCCGCAGGCCACGAAGTGAAGTGTCCGAACGTCATAGGGCGGGAAGCTGGGTGTGGGTGGTGGCGAAGAGTCGTGTGGATATTTGGTAGAGCTTGCACTGCCCCCCCACAAAGTGGGGGTATTGGCTGGCGTCGCATGAAAACCCTGGCACTGGTGAGAACACTGAGCGTTCGGGTAAAGTGATTGTTGTTGTTGTTGTTGAATATTATTACTTCTAAAGAATATTATTGTTGAGACCCCTGGTGCGCGACCCCCCTCCAAAACCTAGGCCGCAGCCTCATTTCCTTCATTTTCTAGCGAAAGCTTCAGAAAAGTGGATTGTCACCGGATCCGGTTGTTTTGTTGTAATCCGTTTTCCCTTGCAAAAAACACTATAAAATGAAAATTCTTGTTCTTACTTGATCAAATTGCAAGAATCCCTTGCAAAAAATAAGGTAAAGTGGACATTCGTGCGCGCAAGACGAAATCCTTCCAAAACCTTAGGTTTCGTAACGATTTTAACATAAAAACATCAAAAACCCAATGGTTTTTTAAGAAAAAATTGTCAAAATGTCCTTCCGCGCGCGCTGTCCGAATCCCACAAAACCAATGGTTTTTCAACATTTATGTTACATGAGCTCGCGCGAGCTACTTTTTCTTGTTCTAACATAATCAAATTTCAATAATCCCTTGCAAAAAATAAGGTAAAGTGGACATTCGCGCGCGCAAGACGAAATCCTTCCAGAACCTTAGGTTTCGTAACGATTTCAACATAAAAACATCAAAAACCCAATGGTTTTTCAAAAAAAAATATCCAAATTTCATCCCGCGCGCGCTGTCCGACTCCCACAAAACCAATGGTTTTTCAACATTTATGTTACATGAGCTCGCGCGAGCTACTTTTTCTTGTTCTAACATAATCAAATTTCAATACTCCCTTGCAAAAAAAAGTAAAGTGGACATTCGCGCGCGCAAGACCAACAAAAAACACGACGATCTCAGGAACTTGCCCCAAAAATGTGACCAACTCCGCTCTCTCTGTCTCTCTCTCTGTCTGCTCTCTGTCTCTCTCTCTGTCTGTCTGTGTCATGTATTGTATGTCACAATTGCAGGATGCTGGGCACACGCGCGCCCCGAATAAGTGACCAAGTTCTGTGGGTGTGTACCCCACGCCAGTGTAGTAGCCACGGTCGTCCGCACGCCACGAAGTGAAGTGTCCCAACGTCATAGGGCGGGAAGCTGGGTTTGGGTGGTCGCGAAGAGTCGTTTGGATATTTGGTAGAGCTTGAACTGCCCCCCCACGAAGTGGGGGTATTGTCTCGCGTCGCATGAAAACCCTGGCACTGGTGAGAACACTGAGCGTTCGGGTAAAATGATTGTTGTTGTTGTTGTTGTTGTTGTTGGTTTATGTGTGTTGTTGTTGGTGGTGGTGTTGATGCTGGTGTTGGTGTTGTTGGTGGTGGAGGCGGTGTTGTTGTTGCTGCTCTTGTTGCTGCTTTTGCTGTCGTTGAACTCCCACTATTGAAGAGTAATGTGTGTTGATCCCCCCCCTCCGGTGACCGTTGTGTTTTTTCAATTGATGTGCTTCACCGGAGGCTCGCACCCTGTTTTTGATCAGGGAAAATCACTAGGCTCAAACTGTGTTGTTGGCCCCCGCGGTACAATCTTCACAATTTAGCCAGGACCCCCGCTCCCGACCGAGACTTCCTCGCATTTTACTCAGGAGTCGCGCTCTCGCTTTGGACTTCCTCACAATGTATTCAGGAATCGCTCTCTCGGAGCTCTGGAGTCGCGTTCTCGCTGGGGACTTGCATGCGACTTACTCCAGAATCGCGCTCGTGCGTTGGAAAACCTTGCAATTTACTCAAATGCCGCGCTCCCGACACTCAGGCACCCAGGAGTCGCGCTCACGCGAAGGATTCCCTAAAAGCTTACTTATAGGAATCAGGACCTCGTTGCCCTTCGTGGCCCCTTTGCAGCACTTCGTGGCCCCCTCGCTGCCTTTCGTGGCCCTATATATGTATGCCCTACGTGGCCCCCGCTCGTTCGCGCCCGTCGTGGCCCCATATGTACGCGCTTCGTGGCCCCGCAGTCGCCCTTCGTGGCCCCATCGCTGCCCTTCGTGGCCTCATTGCTGCCCTCAGTGGCCCCGTCCTTGCCCTCTGCAGCCCAATATACGCAAGCCCTTCGAAGCCCCGTTGCAGCCCTTCGTGGCCCCCTCGCTGCCCTTCGTGGCCCCGTTGCAGCACTTCGTTGCCCCGTCGCTGCCCTTCGTGGCCCCGTTGCAACCCTTCGTGGCCCCCTCGCTGCCCTTCGTGGCCCCGTTGCAGTCCTTCGTGGCCCCCTCGCTGCCCTTCGTGGCCCCCTCGCTGCCCTTCGTGGCCCCATGTATGTATGCCCTACATGGCCCCCGCTCGTTCGCGCCCGTCGTGGCCCAATACGCATTCCTTTCGTGGACCCGCTGTCGCCCTTTGTGGCCCCGTCGCTGCCCTACGTGACCCCGTTGCTACCCTCAGTGTCGCCGTCGTTGCCTTCTGTGGCCCCGCACTATCTACCTTTCGTGGCCCCCGCTCGTTCGCGCCCTACGTGGCCCCGTACGCATGCCGTTCCGTGGCCCCGCTGTCACCCTTCGTGGTTCCCTTGCTGCCCTTCGTGGCCCCATCACTGCCCTTCGTGGCCCCGCTGTCGCTCTCGCTCTCACTCTCGCTTTCGCTCGTTGTCGTCGTCGTCGTCGTGGTCGGTCCCCTGTCCGTCCCTCTTGGGGTAGGGCTGCCGCCGGTCAGCGCTGCCGCTGGCCAGGCCGACGGTCCGCGGCCGCCCCGCCGCTTGCTGGGGCCCGGACTGCAGGGAAGAAAGATATGCCCCCAAAAGGGGATACGATCGAAGACGAAGAGGGCGGTTATCGAGGGTTTGGGAAATGCACATTGAATGACACTCGAGCAGATAAGAGTCAACAGTCTTAAATTGATATTTGTTGTTGTTGTTGAACTTTCACTACTGAAGAACAACTATTGTTGACCCCCCCTCCAGTGACCACTGTGCTTTTTCAATTGAAGCGCTTCCCCCGGGGTTCGCACTTCTTCTTTTATCATCTGGGAAAGTCACTCGGCTCAAATTGTTGACGCTTCGCGAATCCCCACCAGCCCATCCAGAAACAATGCCCAGAGGAATTGCCTCGATCAGGGAAGTGGGCAGCACACAGAGGAAGCCATTATGAGACATCTTTGGATATCTTGAGCCATCTTGGAGGTCATGTTGGGCTCTCCCAGGCGCTCTTGATCTTAATCAGTGCCCCCCCGAGAGGCCAACACGTGGCTAAGACCTTCGTAAAATCAATGATTTGGCATTCTCGCCGAGGCCTCTTGGAGCATCTTGGGTGCCTCTGGGGGGTCTCTTGGGGCCTCTTGGGGGTCTCCTGGGGGCCTCCTGGGGGCCTCTTGAGGGCCTCTTGGGGCCATCTTGGGGCCATCTTAGAACCTCTTGGGGCCTCCTGGGCGCTTCTTGGGGCCATCTTGGAGGAGATCGATCAAACAAGAGGGGAGCATTAATTAGCGTCCCCCCCCCAGGAGGCCAAAATGGGGCCAAAACCCTAGTACAACCAACGATTTGGGCTTCCTCGCCGAGGCCGTTTTGGCATTCTCGCCGAGGCCTCTTGGAGCCTCTTGGGGCCATCTTGAGACCTCTTGGGGCCTCCTGGCCAAAATGGGGCCAAAACCCTAGTACAACCAATGATTACCTAACAGCGAAGACTGATAGGTTTCTAGTGGTCTAAAAAGAGAGCAGCGCATTACTCCACAGGGGG